CTTATGAATCAGACGGTGACGTCAAAAAACCTTTTCTGGTTCAGGTACCCATTTTCCTCCTGCCCTCCCCTTATCCCAGGCTGAGCCATGTCGTGAGTGGCTCTAAAGGGTTGGACAGGTGGGGACAGCCTTAGCTATCACCTGGAGATGGGATACCAGTCATGCTCATGACCCTGACTTGGCCCACCCCAGGCCAGGTAAGGGAGCTGGGTCTGAATGACCCCTTCCTAACCACAGGCACAGACCCCAGGAAGCTTTTCGGGAAGCCCTGCACATGGACAGGTACCTGTTGCTGCACCCAGACTTTCTCCGATACATGAAGAACAGGTTAGAGCAGAAAGCACATGACACGTAGCCCAGGTCCCTGTTATCCTTGCAGCCTCCTGACAGTTGGGGGCTTGGGGCATTTCACAGGTTTCTGAGGTCTAAGACCCTGGATGGTGCCCACTGGAGGATATACCGCCCCACCACTGGAGCCCTCTTGCTGCTCACTGCCCTTCAGCTCTGTGACCAGGTAAGGCTCCACTGCAGCTACAGAAATACCTGAAGAAACAGCTCTGGGGCTATTCCTGGGCCTGCTCAGCATAGGACAATGGATGGGCTGGGTGCACAGCCCTGGTGGGAAGGAGGGTGGGCATGAGTATGGGTGCATGCAGTTATGTGTGCGTGTCCAGGGACCTGCACCCAGACCCCTAGGGATGGTGCCGGGGAAAAGAACCCCCACCCCTCAACACAGAATTAGCCATGAGAAGAAGCCTGGGCGACAGCAGCTACAAGCCCTGTTTCTCCTCCAACCTTGATGTAGGTGAGTGCCTACGGCTTCATCACCCAGGGCCACGAGCGCTTTTCTGATCACTACTATGATACATCATGGAAGCGGCTGATCTTTTACATAAATCATGACTTCAAGCTGGAGAGAGAAGTCTGGAAGCGGCTACACGATGAAGGGATAATCTGGCTATACCAGCGTCCCGGTCCTGGAACTACCAAAGCCAAGAACTGACCGGGGCCTGGGCTGCCGTGGTCTCCTTGCCCGCTCCAAGGCACAGGATACAGTGGGACTCTTGAGACTCTTTGATCATTTCCCAGGGAGCCCCTCTCCAGCCCCTCTCCAGCCCCTCTCCTGCATCTCTCCTGCCCCTCTCCTGCCCCTCTCCTGCCCCTCTCCTGCCCCTCTCAGGAAGGAGGGAAGGGAGGGAAGGGAGGGAAGGGAGGGAAGGAGGGAAGGAGGGAGGGAGAAGGCCCACAAAATGCACACGTTTATACACATATGACTGCAAGCATGGCCCTGACAGCACACCGGACACATGCCACATTCCCAAGATGCGGCCCCTCTCACACTTACAAAGGTGTATTTGCCTTGACGGCCGAGAACACCCATTTTCCAGAACCCTCAGGACCACAATGAGCCCAGACAATGGGGAGGGGAGGGTGAGCAGACCCTCAGAACAGGATGGAAGAGGTAGCAGAGGCTGTGCCTTCCAAACTGTGAGCCCCAGCCCTTCTTGCAGTGGTGCAGCTCCCGGCTGATGGCCTTTCTGGGTCTCTCCCTTCCTGACTTCGTCCTCCTACATATAGACTTGCCCTGACTCCGTGAAGATCAAAGCCTCCAGGTCGCTGTGGCTCCAGAAACTCTTTCTGCCCAACCTTACTCTCTTCCTGGACTCCAGACACTTCAACCGGAGTGAGTGGGACCGCCTGGAACACTTTGCACCACCCTTTGGCTTCATGGAGCTCAACTACTCCTGTGAGTCATCACCCCAGGGGAGGGTGTGCAGTAGGCCGGGGCAGAGGGCAGAGGGCAGCTGGCTTTCTGGTCCGCCTCTTCCTTGGGGTTTGCCAGACCTGGGAGGAATGAAGGGTCAGACTCTTGTCCCTCCCAGGGCTCTGAATACAGCACCCCCACTCTTGTTCCAGTGGTGCAGAAGGTCGTGACACGCTTCCCTCCAGTGCCCCAGCAGCAGCTGCTCCTGGCCAGCCTTCCCACTAGGAGCCGCCGGTGCATCACCTGTGCCGTGGTGGGCAACGGGGGCATCCTGAACAACTCCCGCATGGGCCAGGAGATAGACAGTCATGACTACGTGTTCCGGTAAGCTGTCCCCACCCAAGCTCCCCTCTCCTGCCCCTCTCCTGCCCCTCTCCTGCCCCTCTCCTGCCCCTCTCCTGCCTCTCCTGCCCCTCTCCTGCCCCTCTCCTGCCCCTCTCCAGCCCCTCTCCTGCCCCTCTCCTGCCCCTCTCCTGCATCTCTCCTGCCCCTCTCCAGCCCTCTCCAGCCCCTCTCCTGCCGCTCTCCTGCAGACAGGGACTCTTCTGAGAGACCCCTAGGATGTTCCACGGCTGCATCTGGAAGGTGGAATTCCTGGGCTCTCCAGAGAATTTCAGCACGAAACTGCTACCTCCCCCATTTCTCCTTCCTTTCCCCATCCACCTACACAAATCTCCCTCCTCTGCTCACCTCTTCCATCTGAATGTATCTTTCTGCACAGATTGAGCGGAGCTCTCATTAAAGGCTACGAACAGGATGTGGGGACTCGGACATCCTTCTACGGCTTTACTGCCTTCTCCCTGACCCAGTCACTCCTTATATTGGGCAATCGGGGTTTCAAGAACGTGCCTCTGGGGAAGGTGAGCAAAGAGGAAGGAGCCTGGCCACAGCCAGACTCCGGATGAGGGAGCGCACAGGGGAGAAGTGAGAGGAGAGGCTTTCCTCCGGATGGAGTCTGCATGAAAGGGCAGGAGTGGGGAGGACACTGAGACCAGTCCAGGGGAGAGCAAGTGGGCAGTTGGAGTCAGAGCTGGGCCCCAGCTGGTTGTCCTGAGGCAGGACTTTTGGGCCACTCCCTATCCTTGGTCCTCAGGACGTCCGCTACTTGCACTTCCTGGAAGGCACCCGGGACTATGAGTGGCTGGAAGCGCTACTTATGAATCAGACGGTGACGTCAAAAAACCTTTTCTGGTTCAGGTACCCATTTTCCTCCTGCCCTCCCCTTATCCCAGGCTGAGCCATGTCGTGAGTGGCTCTAAAGGGTTGGACAGGTGGGGACAGCCTTAGCTATCACCTGGAGATGGGATACCAGTCATGCTCATGACCCTGACTTGGCCCACCCCAGGCCAGGTAAGGGAGCTGGGTCTGAATGACCCCTTCCTAACCACAGGCACAGACCCCAGGAAGCTTTTCGGGAAGCCCTGCACATGGACAGGTACCTGTTGCTGCACCCAGACTTTCTCCGATACATGAAGAACAGGTTAGAGCAGAAAGCACATGACACGTAGCCCAGGTCCCTGTTATCCTTGCAGCCTCCTGACAGTTGGGGGCTTGGGGCATTTCACAGGTTTCTGAGGTCTAAGACCCTGGATGGTGCCCACTGGAGGATATACCGCCCCACCACTGGAGCCCTCTTGCTGCTCACTGCCCTTCAGCTCTGTGACCAGGTAAGGCTCCACTGCAGCTACAGAAATACCTGAAGAAACAGCTCTGGGGCTATTCCTGGGCCTGCTCAGCATAGGACAATGGATGGGCTGGGTGCACAGCCCTGGTGGGAAGGAGGGTGGGCATGAGTATGGGTGCATGCAGTTATGTGTGCGTGTCCAGGGACCTGCACCCAGACCCCTAGGGATGGTGCCGGGGAAAAGAACCCCCACCCCTCAACACAGAATTAGCCATGAGAAGAAGCCTGGGCGACAGCAGCTACAAGCCCTGTTTCTCCTCCAACCTTGATGTAGGTGAGTGCCTACGGCTTCATCACCCAGGGCCACGAGCGCTTTTCTGATCACTACTATGATACATCATGGAAGCGGCTGATCTTTTACATAAATCATGACTTCAAGCTGGAGAGAGAAGTCTGGAAGCGGCTACACGATGAAGGGATAATCTGGCTATACCAGCGTCCCGGTCCTGGAACTACCAAAGCCAAGAACTGACCGGGGCCTGGGCTGCCGTGGTCTCCTTGCCCGCTCCAAGGCACAGGATACAGTGGGACTCTTGAGACTCTTTGATCATTTCCCAGGGCTCAGACCAAGCTCCAAGCCCTTCAGGAGTTCCAAGGGAACACAGCTCTCTCAAGATGGCAAATGGCTAAGTAAGGTTCTGAAGTTCTTCAGTACATGGCTGTCGGTCCTGGTGGAGATTCCTGAGGCCAGGGATTTTTAACGGAATGGGGTGATGAGTGGTGAGTACCACAATTCCCGGTGAAAAACACTCTTCCAGCCCAAAAGCTTCTTGATGCAGAGAAAAGAGCCTGGATTTACAGAAACATATAGATCTAGTTTGAATTCCAGATCAAGTTTGCAGTTGTGAAATCTTGAAGGTATTACTTAACTTCACTACAGATTGTCTAGAAGACCTTTCTAGGGGTTATCTGATTCTAGAAGGGTCTATACCTGTCCTTGTCTTTAAGCTATTTGACAGCTCTACGTGTTGTAGAAAACTGATAATAATACAAATGATTGTTGTCCATGGAAATGCAAATAAATTTTGTACAGTGAAGATGCACTTTAGTTGTCACTCAGTGGATAGGGACCAGTTTTGCACGTGGTCCCTTTCATTCTTCTATTCTCCCCATTAACCTGCTTTCTTTCTCAAACCCCCACGACGAGAACTGAGCTAAGCCAAAGACATTTCAGTTCATCTTACCCTTTGAGCTCTATCTGCATGATTTGGACTCTGGAGCCTGGAACAACCCCTAACAATTCTAAATAAAATAAAGTGGCCAAGCATGGTGGCCGGTAATCCCAGCACTTTGGGAGGCCGAGGCAGGCAGATCACTTGAGGCCAGGAGATCGAGACCAGCCTGGCCAACATGGTGAAACCCCATCTCTACTAAAAATACAAAAGTAGGCCGGGCGCGGTGGCTCAAGCCTGTAATCCCAGCACTTTGGGAGGCCGAGACGGGCGGATCACCAGAGCTGGGAGGCCGAGACGGGCGGATCACGAGGTCAGGAGATCGAGACCATCCTGGCTAACACAATGAAACCCCGTCTCTACTAAAAATACAAAAGTAGGCTGGGCATGATGGCATGTCCCTGTAGTCCTGCTGAGGCAGGAGAATTGCCCAAATCCAGGAGACTGAGATTGCAGTGAGGTGAAATCAGACCACTGCACTCCAGCCTGGGCGACAGAGAGAGACTCCGTCTCAAAAAATAATAATAATAAATACATAAGTAAACAGAATAAAGGACCCTTGATAGGAGAGTGGAAGCGAGACAGAGGAGCTACCCTTTAGACTTCATTGGTAGAGGGGACCAATGGGACAGGGATTTGCTTTGCATGAAAAGGGTGCAGTGCCAGCTCCGGGCGGCAGGTGGCGGCAGCTCGGCGCCCTGTTGTTCGCGGGGCCCTGTCCTCCGCGGCACCCCAGGCTCCTTAGTTCTGCACACGGGTGGAAGGAAGCGCCACCCACGTGCAGAACTCCGCCACTGTGGCTTCTATACACCGCGAACCTTGGGATGGACACAGCCGATTTGGCAGGGCGCTGATCGGGGGTGCGCTTGCGGAAGAAGGGCCATTGGCGCCACTGCCGCAGGTGCTTTCGCGTCGGCCCCTCCAAAGGAGGAGCTTGCGCGCGTGGGCCGGGCGGCTGTCAGCCTCTGCCCCGCAACCTGAAGGACGGAGCTGCGTGCGGGGCTGAGAGAGGTGCCGGCAGGGAGCAGAGAGTGAGGCGAAGACGCGAGGTTCTAACCATCCCCGGGGCTGCAGGCCAGAGGCTGGGACCGGACGGGGTCCGGGAGTTTGCAGGGGGTTGGGGGCGGGGGGCGGGGGGAGGCGGCGGCTCTGTGCTGGCAGCTGAAGGTCGGATCCGCCCGGGTTGCCCCCTTCCCGGTGCCCTGCACCCTGCAAGAGGCGGGTGGGCCCCGGACCACCCCGGGGAGACCAGGCCAGGGGCGTTTGCAGCCTAACCCCAGCTTATCTGGTCTGAAGAGCAATAAATGCTTTTCCCCAACAAAGCTCTAGTCACAACGACTTTGACAGGGTGGACACCGCATCAGGTCAGAGCAGGAGAGAAAATGAGTAGCCACGGGCAGAGAGCCCCTTACCCCCATATTGGCCTCCTCAAATTTAAACTCAGGCTACCTAAACTTAAGG